CAATATCTTGCCCTAGGGTACAGCAACGACAGCCCCCAGTTAGAGATTATTCAATGTTGTAGATATCAGGAGCTCTACCCCTTCCCCTAGGGCGATTTTATACGTAGCACTCAAATGGTATTGCCAGTGCCAGTCAAATTCATGACCCGGTGCTGACTCCCCATCCCGGACCAATGAGATAGTGTTGTATTTACTTTAATCCCTTTCAACTATCAGTAGAATGCAGCTATTCAGGGGCTGGAGAAAACAGCTGCTTAACAAAGAACAATCCCATGCTGACCCAGACAAGATCCCCTTCTCGCCCAAAGCACCCTCTGTCTGCAGCTGGGAGCAGATCCTGAACGAAGGAATAAAACCCCAAAATAGAGCAAGCACCACACAAGCCTTTCCCTTAATATCCACATTGAGCAAAGAAATACTCAGGGACTTCCCGAGCTGGATCTAGCATCCGGATTCCTGGGTTTAGCAAGTGCTAATGATTGTATGAGCCATTCATTTCTATTCGAATTTGCTTATGGTGTTGGGCCTTCAGAGCACCCTGGGGCAATGACTTGCATAATGTGTGTAACAAATAAATCGTTTCCCATTTGTTTGCCTTCAAACTGCTGCCTGATTGGTTCTAGGAGTGCATCTCTGTTCCCCTGGGCCACAAAGACTGAAAAATTATTCTACAGTTACTCTTCAAGACTTGGGTCTGAAAGTTGCTTCCTTTCTACAGAACTGAATTTCAGCTACTGTCCTATTAAACCCAGATGGCAGAGAACCAGAGAATGGTTTGGATCAGGACAGAACTTTAAAGGTCCAGCAACAGTGCAGGGAGCAGGGACATCTGCAATTAGAGCAGGTTGCTCAGAGCCCCGGCCAACCTCCCCTGGAATGGTTCCAGGGATGGGGCAGCAACCACCTCTCTGGGCAACCTGGAACAGGGGCTCACCACCCTCAGTGTCAAAATTCTCTTCTACCGAGTCTGAATCTCCTCCTTTTGATTCAAAACCATCCCCCCTTGTCCTGTCCCAACAGGGCCTGTGAAAAAGTCCCTCTCCAGCTTTCTGAGAAGTCCCTTCCAGGCAGGCCATCTACAACTAGAACAAACTACTCAGAGCTTCATCCAGCCTGATCTTGAATGTTCTCAGGGATGGGGCCTTCACCACCTCTCTGGGCAACCTATTCCAGAGGTCTGTCACCCTCATATTGAAAAACTTTTACTTGACGTCTAATCTAAATCTGCCCTTTTCTAGCTTAAAGCCATCATTCCTTGTCCTGACAACAAGCCCTGCTCAAAAGTCCCTCCCCAGCTGTCTGATAGGACCCTTTAAGCTCTGGCAGGCCCCCAGAAGGTCTCCCCAGCTGGAGCCTTCTCCTCTGCGCGCTGCCCAACCCCAACTCTCTCCTGCTGGGCTCCCAGCAGAGGGGTTCCCCCCTCGGGTCATTGCTGGGGCTCCTCTGGCCCCGCTCCAGCAGGTCCCTGTCTCTGCTGTGCTGAGGACTCCAGAGCTGCCCCAGCACTGCAGGGGGGTCTCCCCAGAGCGGGGCAGAGGGGCAAGATCCCCTCCCTGCCTTGATGCCCACCAGGCTGTTTTGGATGGAGCAATTTGGCTTCTGGGCTGTGAGCACACATTACCAGCTCATGTCCAGGTTTTCATCCAGCAGCACCCCCAAGTCCCTCTCTACAGGACTGCTTTCCAGCCCTCCATCCCCCAGCCTACACCAAGACTGGGGGTTGCCCCAGGTGCAGGGTGTTGCACTTGACCTTATTGAGCCTCAGGAGGTTCGTATGATCCCAACCTCTTGAGCTTGTCCTTGTCCCTCTGGATGAAATCTTATCCCTCAGGCACATCAACCACACCATTCAGCCTGGCATCATCAAAAGGAGATGCAACACAACTGAACTGATCTCAGGAAGGACAGATCTCCAAACCTCCCTCTGATCAGACCTTAATCCCCCTCACAAAGCAAAAAAAACGAAATGCAGGGAGAAGATCAAGGCATCATCATGGTGCAAGACACCCCAGAACACACGGCAACATCACAGCCTGGCAGGAGAATACTGACAGTTTATTTCACAGAGCATCGCAGAGTTTATTTTGGTCTAGGTCTATTTTCATTCAAAAAAGTATCATCCTTTGAAAAAGAAAGGTAGCAAATATTCAGGACGATAATGGTAACAGTCAGTGCATTACACAAAGTTTGGGTCTCATCATAAAAAAAAAAAAAAGAAAAAAGTGAATTGTGAAAACCACTTGTTGGATTGTTTTTAACACATCCAAGCTTGTAATCACTTGACTTTTCAATCAAGCCATCTCCAAGGTTAAAACAGAACATGCAGGTGATTATCAACAGATGCTGAGATTTAAACAACATCTCTCACTTGGCAATGACAATCCACCAGGAATGTTTCAATACAGCACCACATTAAAGGGAGAAGCAATTTTGTTCTCGAAAGCCTTCAAATCCATCCAAATCCTGTAATTCTATGGGGGGGGGGAAAAAAAAAAAAAAAAAAGGGAAAAACCAACCCATACTGTGTTTCACAGACTTGAGAGAGTACCATATGGAAGGACAGTATCTGGGGAAGGTAAGAGGCAGCATGGACCAGGGTCTTATTCCACTTACATTCATAAAAAACCCAGGGTAGATGCAAAAGAATTAACATTTTGATTTGGGCTGCTTAGGAGGGGTTTATTAAAGCAGGACAATTCATATTTTCATTATCAATAGGGGTATTTTTCTCTTACATAAAGTTGGCTACTTTGACCCCCAATTCTTCCACACTAAGCCCAAGACTTTGGGGTTAAAAATGTTGCTGGAGTGCAGCCTAAAAAGGAATAAAAAGAGCAGTTCAGTGCTGCCAAAACAAGTACCAACTGCTTGAAGCTGTTTTCACTGTGGCTTGTTTCTGGCCTTCCCAAGCCTGCTTTGTGCATGGAATATGGTGCACCTCAGCATTCCCCCAGGCCATCGCCTTCTCTGCAAGGTGACTTCTCCCATCTGCTCACCAGGTTCTGCAGCCCAGCTTGGCCAGCACCTGAAACACCCAACCTCAGCTTCCAGTCCCAGCTTTGATGGTCCCATGGCTTTCAAGGCTGTGCACACCAAGCTTCAAAGGAAGCTCACACTCAATGGGATTTCTCACATCGCACGTTGTGTCGACCAAGATCCAAGCAAGGAAGGAGGCAACCCAACACCAGAAGGCCACAGGGATTGAGCCAAGACCCATTCACAGCTCCAGCAGCCTTCCAGCTGGCTTCAGCCTTGGGAACCAGCTCCGTGTGAACAGCAAAGTGACCCAGAAACAAGCTCCTCTCTACAAGGCCTTGAAGGCCAGGAGCAGAGAGCTGAGGCCACGCTCGGACTGGCTGTGAGCCGTTTCAGGAAGGGGATAAAATTCAGCTGCCATCTACTCGGTTTCTGAGCTGTTTTTTTGTTTTTCTTTTAACCTCTGGTCTAGGATTTTGGTTTAAAGCCTTTTGCATTGGAAAGATGCTGATGAGAGCTCTTGCCTTCATGAGCCTGTCAGCAACTGCTGCAAGACCATCACTCCTTTGGAGGACACGAACATGCAGCTTTAAACATCCTGCTTTCAAAGCAAGGAGGAAAGGTCTCCTTGCAGGAATAAATTACACTCCGGGGCTGCTTCACTTTCCAAACTATTTACAACCCTTTCACCCACGGGCATCTGCTTGGCCCAGAGAGGAGGAAGTCCACACCACACCACCACGTCCTCTTCCTATGTGGGTGCAAGGACAGGGAAGCAAGGAGCGACTGCAAACGCCACTTGGAGTGGCAGGCACTTGAGCCAGATCTGAGTGGTGATGGTGCCAAAGGCATTGCTTTCTGCAAGCCCTCTGGGCTCCCAACAGAGCCCAACTCAGGGAGAAGATAGAAAGACAGAAAATGGGGGGAAAAAAAGCCCTAAAAAACCAAACAAATAAAAAATAAAGCATTGCTGCCAGCAGAGGCCAATCTAGAGCACTCAGCATTTGCCCTCAACACTGGCAGGACATTTCAAGACAGCCATTCCCCTGCGAGCATCCAGGCTTTGGAGAAGGAGGATGGGACAAGGAGAAGGTGCCCAAGTGACTGAGCCAGTGCAACTCCTTCCCTGGCTCTGAACTTCGGCAGGGAAGAGCGATCTCCTCTCCCAGGAAAGCTTCTCTCTTCCAAACAGCCTCTTGTTGCATTAAAGCTAAAACTTCATTGCCCAAGGAAGGGGAGGAAAGAAAAAAAACAAACCCATAACAAAAACAACACTTCACAAGAACTTCACAATGTACAGAGGTCACCTACACAGTCATCGCACCAAGGGAGGGAGTGGAGCAGGGCAAGGCGGGGAAAGGGGAGACACATCCAACGTGGTTGTCCCAGAATCCCCCACGAGGACTCAGGTTGTCACGTCACGGCTCAAATAACTTCAGCCACAAGGGTGAGGATTTAATGAACACGGTATTTCCACTCATGCCCTGGAAAAATTACACTCAAAACCAAAAAGAGACCAAAAAAAAAATATTCAGATTTTCTACATATTTACAAAAATAAGCCCCCCAACCTCACAACCAGGGAGGTGGAGCAGCTTTGTGATGGGGAATGGGGAGGGGTCTCTGCCCAATCAGCAGTTCCTCAAAGGTCCCCATCCAGCAGCAAGCAGGAGAGCACGGCTCTCCCTGCCGGGGTGGGCCTGGGGCCCCTCAGCTCATCCTCAGCTTGGTGTCCCGATGATCCGTGGGGGTGACCATCTCGTTGGCATAGCCATTCTCAGAGCAGAGAGACAGCTCGTCCGTGGTCTCCACGCCGTTGTTGATCTCTGGGGAAAGTGGAAAAAGAAGGGGTGTCATTACAGGGGTGCAAATCCCAGGAAATGCCCTATAGATGGGGAAATTGAGGAGCTGGGCAACCAGCACATGGGATCCATCTGATCCTAGAGAGGTTTCACCTCCAGTTTAGTAACCCTGCACCCATTTAAAACCTGTTTGGAAGAGGATCTGCCTCTGAATAGAAGCTCACCTCCAAATTTCAGACCTTGCCAATTCTCCCACCATCTGAGGTAAAACTGGACCCACCCCTACATGATCCTACACCACAGGCTGAGTTAGTGACCTGTGGGAAAAGGGTGCAAAATAGAATCATAGAATGGTTTGGGTTGGAAAGGACCTCTAAGGCCATCTAGTTCAACCCCACTACAATAAGCAGGAACATCTCTAACTAGATCTGGTTGCTCAGGGCCTTGACCTTGAATGTCTCCAGTGATGGGGCTTCCACTGTTAAGCTTACACCTGAACTTAATCTCTACTTAAGTGGCCATTCTTGAAAAGGGAAGACTCCTGCAGTCACCGTTTCCCTGGGAAAAATGTGCAACCCCAATGCTTTAATTGTCAACACACATTCTAAGCAAGAACATTTGTTTCAGAAGCACAAAACTTTAATATATATCCCCTGCCTCAATGGGTATTTTATGCCTAGGACTTTTTATGTCTAGAACATGTTTGGGAGGCTTAACTCTGCTGTCACTGACTGCTTTCTCTGCCCGGGTTCCCTGGATTGACACCATCTCTGGAGGGCAGAATCAAGCCTGTATTTCAAATAACAAGCTCTTTGAAGCAAGAGTTGTCATTTTGCTCTGTATGTGCCTAGTACAATAAGCTCTGATTGCTGCTGAAGGTCTTTAGCCCCTAAATACAAAGAAAGAAAACCCATAACAGAGCTCAAGGGGAGATTATTTGTCCCATTCCCTTAAATATGAGTCCTTCCAGCACCAATGCTAATCTTTTAAAGCTTTAAAGTTTCTATCTTTGTACACATTTCTGAGATCTTTCTCTAAGATGGGGTGAGATGGAGACATCAGCATGTTCTAACACAAACACCTGGAGGAACCCACAATCCTCAGGGCCATCGAATTCAAGGTCTACCCCAAACTCATCACCACTATTTCTCGTGACCTACACCATTATTTTATCAGGTTTTAGAGCTTTTGTCACACTTAACAATTCAGAATGGAGATGATGTGGGACTGTACAAGAGCTGCATGGCACAACTTGGGAAGCTAGACATAGGATTTCCCAGCAAATCAGTGCATAGACCTGCACCAGTTTGGAAGGGATAAGCCATGACCATATCCCACAAGTGGATCAGTGCAACAGGGTCAGTCCAGTCACCCAGTCCCACCAGCAGGAGATGGCACCTGTATCAAGACCACCTCCTCCATCAGCAGAGAGCAGGGCTGGAGCTGAGAGATGGAGCAAAGGGCTCTGACCAACCAGTCCCATCCATACCCGAGAAGATCAACTTCTCCTTCATGATCTTGACATCCCGGCTGGACCGGCGGACAGCAGCACTGAGCATGATCTGCTCTGGGTTGTAGGTCCTGATGCTTCCTAGGCGCCACCTGAAAGATAAGAGGGAGGTATCAGGGGCTGGTCTCCCCAACCCTGGGAGCATCCTCAATGCAAGTGGCCACCAATAACATGGAGGCCAACAAGTCCCAGAGACCCTCACGCCTTTGCTCTCTGGCACATATGCAACCCCGCGTGGTAGAAGGATGTTCAGAGATGAGCATGTTATCTCAGAGGGGCACACACAGACCAGCACGTCAGCTCTAACCACCTCAAGCACCCCAATTCCACTAATTTCACCAAGGACTATAGATGTCCCAAACCCCTCTCTATAACATCAGCTACCTAGCCCCCTAAGGAGGTAAAGCTATTTTGTCTCTTAGGGTTGGGAAGAGGGAACAGAAGACCAAGCCAGGTAAAGAAACCATAACCATTTCCTCACTGTGTGACACACTCACCCTCACGGCAGAACAGAGCTCAAAGACAAATTAAGCTCTCAGACCTGGGATGCAGTAAAGACACTGTCCCCACACAGGTTTCTGTCACATACAGTTCCCCTGAAGATGAATTCTCCCAGGGCACTTTCCTCCCCAAATTCCAGGTCCTTACTGAAGTGTTTCTACACAAACCCTCCACTTTTTAAGCCTTGATGGAATTCAGTGTTCACCAAAAGTTTCCGCTATCTGAATAATGAGGCTGATGGGAACTTGGCTCAAATTAAAATTAGCCAGATTTTTATTTCGATGAGTGCAAAAAAACACCTACTGATGATAGTAATCACCATATTGTTTGGGCTGGAAAAGACTTTAAGATCACCAAGTCCAACCATTAGCCCAGTACTGCCATAACCAATGGCCGAAGTTCAAGGGTGTTTTTGCTTTTAAAGCTCTTTTTCAGCCTGAGAGCACCCCTGTAGCAGATCCTCAGCTTCTGGTGTTTTGCCTTTGGTGTTAGGAGTGAAAGTTGGGCTACTGCAAGAGGGGAAAACAGGGCTTGGTGGGCTCAGACAAAGCAGCTGCACCCAAGAACCCACTGCAAAGGGATGCTGTTTAGGCCAGGCTTCCATAAGCCCACATCCCCACACATAGCCCACAATTTGTCCTGCCTCTTGACCACTGAGGAAGGCTTTCAAGTAAATCCCATTCTCCTCTCTGGATCCAGGAATGCTATAAGGCTATCTGATGGAGCAACAGTGGGACTTAGGGTGGCTTATGATCTTCTGGCACCATCTAGTGGCTCACCCACACAAGAGAAGGTGAAATTCTTATTGTTTTTGAACTTTTAAAAAAGGTGACAACCATCTTCTCTTGAATTTCTAACCCCCTTCCCTAGCCTCGGGGACCAGAGGATTTGAGAAGCCTCACACATCTCCAGCCTGACAAAGCAGCATCCACAAAAGAGGTTCTGCAGCTTTTCCAGGCAAATGTAGCTGTTGTTCATTTTGTGAGGTACCCATCCCCTTCCCAAATCCCAGCAGGTGACACCACACCATCAAGCTTGGACCAGGGTATAGATGAAGGTGGATGCTCTGCTACGGAGAAAAGAAGGGGTGGGATGGTAACACAACACAACTCACAAACCCATGGACAGAAGAAGTACAGAGGAAGCACAAGGAGGCAACGACATCAAAAGTATTAAAAAACCCAACCCTTAACAGATAAAAAAATATTTGTGTCCTATCATCATTATCTAAGCTGAGCCACTCTGACCTGGAAGAAGTCTATTTTGCCCTTAGTGTCCCATGCAGGCAGATCTCACTGAGGTCAATAGGGTTGCAAGTGCAGTGATCTCACAGGATAAGACCCTCCTTAAACTATTATCAGGACCAAGACATACTGCTACAACGAGTTTTTTCTTTGCCCACAACATCAGGATTTCCAGCATCAGGCTGGGTTGCATGGCCAAAAGGCATGATGCTTTCTTGCCCTGAGGTCCTAGATGTCCCATGGAGAGCGTGGGCTATTTTGAAGGCACAGACAGCCCAGCCCCAAAGGGGTACAGGGACCAAGGATTTTTCTCCTCCTGCCAAGAGGAATGACCACTGCTCTCTGCTCCCCACATCATATGGTGGCTGTGGTCAGACCCGAGGTGGTTTAAGATGCATGAGGGCCAATGGCTCCTCTCACAGGGGTGCATTGCTCTGATTGAACACACTTAGGAGAGGGTGACCCCATTTTTCAGGGGTACTTTGAAACACTCTCTTTGTAGAGCCACCAGTACACTTAATGCCAATGTAACTCCCAACACCACACAAAGCACTCTGAGGTGCTACGTAGCCTTTGGGTCTCCAGAAAGCTTAATAGAAAATACCACCTCTCCTACCCCCTTGGACTCTGTTGTGATCGGCCACGTTTAGGACAGCAGCGTGCAAAAAGGCCAGACAGACAGCAGGTAGGTCTTGTTCTGGGAGGTTGGCATCAAAGCGGACCAGACGGACACGGGGTGGGAACAGACTAAAAAATACTGGGACAACAACACAGAGACAGCATAGACCATGTTAGGGCCACGACTGGACCCTTGGTTTGGAGGGGAGATGCTAAATGGCAGGGAAAGGGGATGGGAGAAGGGCAGGCTGGGGAGAAAAGGGGGTTGATTGGTACTGAGGTGATAAGATGGAGCGAGCAAAGAGCCAAGCCAGCCGCAACCAGAGTCCCCATCCTGCCACCACTCTTGCCTAAAGCCTGCCCAGCTGCTCTGTGTCTGTCTTCTCCTCATCCACGAGCCAGGGAGCCAGGGGAAGGGGAGAAGGGGAAAACACTCAACCTCTCTGCACCCATGGAAGGGCTCAGCCCAGCCCCAAAGCCAGGTCCTGTGTTTCAGGGAGATGCTGTGAGGACATAATGCCACAAACCCAAGATACCTCGTGGAGGTGGCAATATTTGCAGATGTCCAACCCTGACCCCCCAAGGTGGTGGGTGGGCAGAGGGAGAGGGGCAGATAAGCACAGATAGGGCATAGTCAAGTCCTCAGAGATACAACCCCATGGCACACAGCAGAAGGAATGGAGAAGGTAACACGTGAAGAGTGTGGTCCAAGTATGGACGTGGTGAAGGCTTCACTGCAGAGAAGTGACAGCACTTCCCTCCAAGGGGGTGAGAAAACAGCCAATAGAGGGAGAAATCCGGGCTTCCAATCAATGGCCCTGCAAATCCAGCACCCCAAGCTCACTCCCCCCTTCCAGGGTGCAATACTGTTTCTTTTCACACTGCATCTCCAGTTTCACAGTGGTGCAACTGGGAAGAGACTCCTGGCAGGTCCCAGGCCCCGAGGGCAGCTACTGATGAGCCAAACCTTTGCAGCTATTAGCCTTATTCATTCATTCCCAGGGCTAGAGAAGTGCTACTTTATAATTGAACAGGTTCCATTATTTTGTTCAGAACTGGCCAGTTTAAAAGAGGTTGGCCTCAGAAACCTCCAGTAACGGCAGGAAGGAAGGGGATATTTTGAATGGGATTATTTCCCTGGAGAAAGCATTACATCCACGGGGAATTTCCCAATTAGAACACACTGTAGTATTCCCCAGTTACAACAGACTGCAGAATAGGATTGTTTCAAAAGGCAGTGCTTTGGACCATTGTAACAGAAAGTCAGATTGCCTTCAAAACACCCATTAGCTTCAGCATCAGGCTCCTGAGGTGCTCGTGGCTATGGACTATGCAATGTTCAAGCCCTTATGGTCCCCCCGTGAAGCCAGATGTTTGAAAGCATCATGGAAAGCTGTGCCCTTCCCTGTCCATCTGCAGTGAAGCCATAGCAGAGAGGGAGAAAGAAAGAGAGAAAGGAAGGTTGAATGAAAAAGAGAAAGAGGAGGAAAGCACCAGAATTACCTGATCATGTGATAGCTGTGAGATGCCAGAATGCAGCAGAGAGAGAAAGAGGAGGAACATGCACAACAGTCAGAGCAGTAAGAAAATAAACACGGCAAAGAGGCAAAAAAAAGATCAGTTAGAAGTCATCACAGTTGGTATTTCCCCTCCGGAGACGCTGCCATGGTCCTGTCACCAGGGCTGAAGCAGAACAGCAGGAGCAATCCCTACTTGTGGCTACAGAGGAGAGAAGCCATGCGTAGGAGAGAGGACGAGCACATCAAAGCAGTGGCTCTGTTCCCACCCACCCCCTCATCCTTGCACAAAGGAAGCAGCTCTAGTTTGCCCCAAAAATGACTCGGGGGGCTGGGGGGTGACCAAAACAAACCAGAAAAAGCAACCACGACACTGAAGGCCAAATGCCAAGACCCGTTTCTTGGAGCTGAATCACATCAGCAGGTGGTAGTTGGACAATTCTACTGCAGTTTGGTTTTGATATATCCTCAATGCTGCTGTCAATTCTTTCATGTGGTGGAGAAACTGGAACGGCAGCAAAATGGGTCTCTCCTGCACAAGGCTCTTGGAAGAGCAAGCCCTTTGCTGAAGAAGTCCAGCTTCTGATACTAGAGTTTCTCCTCCTTTCTACTGACTCAGGGTTGAGTTGTCCCAAGGAAGAGACTCAAAAGACGACATTTAGCCCTGCTAAGATGGACCCCACATGGCCAGACCTCTCCAAGCCACTGCCTTTCTACATCAGGTCCAGAGGATGGGCAGGGAGCTCAGTGCTCCAGGTTGATGGACTCTGGGGAAAGCTGGGGATTGTTTCTGACTCTTCTTATCTCTTCTACACTGAAGGTGGCAGAGAAATCCTGCAATAATGCTTTCCTTTCCTTCTTGCCCTACTCTGCCCAGCTTCTTCCAAACTGGAAGAAATTAAATCTGTGCAGAGAGGAAGAGTCCAGCTATTGCAAATTCCACGCAGCTGCAGCTTCTCCCTCTCTCCAAGCATGCATCATCTCACTCTGCTCTGGGACCTACAGTTGCCATTCAACAGGTCAAGTTAGTTTAATTTCTTCAGCTATGGTCTCCTGGGTCTGATTCAGGAAAGCCTTCTAAAAGTTACTTTGGGAGATGATGCAGAAGGCTGCAAATATCTCACCAACCTGGCCTTCAAATTCTGATCTTCAGAGAGGTCAGTCCCTGTGTCCAGACTCCTCTGTGAATTTCTGTATCTCACAGAGAAATACAGGGTCTAAGGAGCTGGGACATCTCTCATTAGACCAACTGATGAACTTGAGGGACAGGAGGAAGCTTCCAGACAACACAGCCACGATATCCTTCTGGAGGAAATGTTTCATCAGCCACAATTCAGATCACAGGACTTCTTGGAAGAATTTTGATCCGATCTTGGTCAGTAGTTTCATTAACTGTTGGGAAATTGAATCTGAGAGAAGAGTTTTCAATCTGCTGCTCACACCATTATCCCATCCTGGAAGTGAGGACCTGCTGGGCACGGGTCCACCAAAATGGGACTGTGTAAGTCATGAATTTAGATGATTATACACAGACCCAACGTGTGGTCTGAAGTCAAATCCATAGTGGGTGCTCGGCAGGAGCAATAGCCTACAGCAACACAGCAAAAATACCTGAGTAGTTATTACGCACCCAGGGGAGGGGAAGGGATTCCTGCAACCAGATGACCTGGGACAATGCAGCAGCAAAATCACGAGCTCATGAGGCTAACGCAAGTTAAATTGCTGCTCCTAACGTGAAGGCACTTTGGGTATCGAGGAGGAAGGAAAGTGTAGGTCCCTTGGTGTCTCTAAGAGTTGTTTGTGCACATCCAGGCAGGTGAGATTATAGAGCCAGGGGAAGATGGGATGTAATCTCAGACTGACACATTTTCCCGGAAGGCTGCTGCTTCTCGCTGGAGGGAGCGAGAAGCTCAAAGTCTCTCTCAGCTCATGCTTTTCCCCAGAGAAGATTATGACACTGTCACTACTGACAGCTAAAAGGCCTCCTAGGATAAAAGGCAGATCACCAGGAGGACACTGTGGTTTCCCCCAATATAATCAAGAGGAGGGTGTCTTGGGCAGCTCTACCTCTTCCTGATTTACAAGTGTCTTAACTTGCTCTGCCCTAGGTTTTATGCTCCACAGTTGGTTTTGGGGACCCTGGCTAACAGGCTTCTGCCATGCCCTCATCAAATCCTTGCTTCCACTTTGGAAAATGGAGAGATTATTTCTGTGCAAACCAAGCAACAAATTTGATTTGTTAAGTCATAACAATTCTACTTCTTCATCCAAACTGATTGCAGAAAACTATAACATGTTCTTTTTGAAGACTAGAATGGTAGAATCTCAAAGCATATCCTCATCTTCCTTTAAAGTATTTTAGTCTCTTTCTCAATGTCCATTTCTCCAAAGTATTTACAGTTTCTCTCCCACATGCATTTTTGAGCAGAGCAAGGCAGCTATCACTACTATTTTGAGATCTTTCTTTCTTCTTAAAAAGCAGCAAGTACATCCAATTCAATGTCACATCTCAGAAGTGGAGTTATTGTTTGCAGTCTTCAGAAGGATTTTTAATAAACAGTTTTCCTGCTATTGCAATCCAAGCACCTGAGGAGCACAGTGCTCCTCTCTCCCATCTCCATCCCACCCTCTAAACAAAAACACACTCCACAAATACACCAGAGTCGAGCTGTAACAATGCTACTTACTTCTGGAATACAAAAACTCCTACAATTATGATAAATGAAATGAGATCAGACGTGATCCAGATTAGGTGATACTCGTCTGGAGGCTGGAAGACAAAAAACAGAAGCAGACCTTAAACTTTCTGGTTTGTTCTATCCCAGAGAGACCACACACTGCTGAAGTTACCACCAAGGCAGAAAGAAAAGCAGAGAGCTGCAGGGGCCAGGTATAAATCACAACATTTATGACATTTCTAATGCTAATCTGTCACCCAAAATAACGTTATTGGGGAAAACTGCAAACAGAAACAATTTTAAACCCTCCCTCCTCTCTGATATTTTCTCAGAGTTCAGTGGGCTGAAAGTTTCTTATCTCAGCTGTACTCATCTCAAGGACTGGGTAAGATGTTGTTCGGAATTCCAGGTCTGTGGGAAAAGACAGAAATATGTACACATTGCACATGGGACCTGCAGGGTCCATTTGGAATATTAATATTAGCTGGTTTGCACAGTCATAGAATCACAGAACATCTGGAGTTGGAAGGTACCTTTAAGATCATCTAGTCCATCCAGTCTACAGTCAGAAGGGACATCTGCAACTAGAGCAGGTTGCTCAGAGCCCCGGCCAACCTCACCTGGAATGGTTCCAGGGATGGGGCAGCGCCCACCTCTCGGGGCAGCCAGGGACAGGGGCTCACCCCCCTCAGCATAACAAAAAAAAAAAAAAAGTCTTCCCTCTATCTAGTCTACATCTCCCTCTTTCAATTAAAAAACATCACCCCTTGTCCCGTCACTGTCTCTGTTAAAAGGTCTGTCCCCATCCTTTTTCTAGGCCACCATTAAGTAGTAAAAGGCCCCCAGAAGGTGTCCCCAGCTGGAGCCTTCTCCTCTGCAGGCTGCCCAAGCCCAACTCTCTCCTGCTGGGCTCCCAGCAGAGGGGTTCCCCCCTCCGGTCATTGCTGGGGCTTCTCTGGCCCCGCTCCAGCAGGTCCCTGTCTCTGCTGTGCTGAGGACTCCAGAGCTGCCCCAGCACTGCAGGGGGGTCTCCCCAGAGCGGGGCAGAGGGGCAGGGTCCCCTCCCTGCCCTGCTGCCTACCAGGCTGGAGGGGCAGCCCCAGAGAAGCCCATGTTATGAGCACAGACCTCTCAATTTCTGTTCTTTAAAGCACCAGTAGCTCTCGCCCCATGTGGCTGTTGCCATCACACCAGCTATGTCCAGTTGAACCCATTGTCTGAATCCAGAATTAGCAGAACAGTGCTTTAATTAGCCAGTGCTTCTAATGGGGATTTAATCCTTGTCTTTTCCAGCTTAATTACAGAAGGGTGACATTTAATGTTAGACTTGCTGCATATATTAAGAAGAATGGACACAAAACTGATGTTTCCCATTTTCTTGGTAGGACAGCACCATCACAACTACTCTGAACACTCTTCTAATTCAGAAAAAAATCTACACACCTATATTTTTCATTTATGCAACTGTTGGCATTTCACAACTGAAGAACCCAAATAGCAGGTTTTCCTGTGCAGTTAAAGTTGCATTTCTCATGATATACTCAAAGTATATCATAGGAATATTAGAGTATTATTAATATATTTAAGTTCTGCAGAAAGCTAAAAGCTAGAAGAAAAAAAATTTTGGTACCAGATCAAGGAGATTTAAATGATAAATATGGAATTTCAAGGTGATCAAAAGGGGGAAACTGGATTTTTTCAGAAGGCCACACATTCTTATTAGTAGTGTTTGGTGAGCAGTTCCCTCCTCTGCAGAGGAGATGGATTAGCAAACATCCATCATGAAGACAACTTGTCCTGTTCCATCTACACCAAGACCTGCTCAGGAATTTGCCATATCTCATCTGCAGTTCCTCTTTTTTAGACAGGACTGTGTCATTTGGGTTAACTCATTTTTTCATAAACTTGACCCAGCATAAATCCTACTCTTGAAATCCTCACATTTGTAGCCCATCAAACCCTTCATCAATTCAGTGTAACTGTGCAGAAAGTGACTCAAAACCTTTGAGAGAGACTCCCAAAAATGCAGAGAAGGTTCCCACTCTGGCCATCTACTTTAATGACATCAAGTTGGGAGGTGGACTCGGGCTAAAGCTTGACAAAGCTAGAGGCAGCCTTCTATCAATAGGTAGAGGGGAGAGAGACTGTCACTTTTTCTTCATTGTCTTTCCTTTTACTTCTCTCAAACACAAGCTCAACGTGTTTTTGCAGTTACAAACTGGCCCCTGGGTGACTGGAACAATTTGCACTGCTCAGCTGGAGATAAAGCCCAACAAAGCCCCCAAGGGCTCTGGGCAGCCAAAACCTGGCAGAAACAACCGTTTCATTGCAGCTGCCAAGCCATGTTCTACATGGTGGAAGGGGCTCAGATGCCAAAGCTGGTTAAATTACATCACCAAGGCATTTCAATATGCAGGAAATGAAGGGATTTTTATGCTGCCCGTGATACAAGAGTGTGTACTTGCAGCAGAGGGTTGAGCTGGAAATCCAGCAGATGGAAGACGCCTTAGAGGAGGATTCCAAGTATCAGCAAAGAGGCTTTTGGAGTAGAAAGCTGCCAGTGACATGCACACAGCTCCTGCCAGCTGTAGAGGGGGACAGATGTTTGCAGCAGCACAAGTCAGATGATGCTAATCTCTTCCACCAACAGATTCAGGCTTTATAAAACTACTTCCAGTTCTCCAGCTTCAGCACGCACCAGTGTGAATTTGAGTAGTCAGACACAAGCAGTAGGTTAAGCTAAGGCCAGCAGGGCCAGGGCAGGGATTGTCCCCCTGGACTCAGCACTAGGGAGGTCACACCTCAAATACCAGGTTCAGTTTTGGGCCCCTCACTCTGAGGAGAACTTTTGAGGGGCTGGAGCATGGCCAGGGAAGGGCAACAAAGCTGGTGAAGGGTCTAGAGCCCAAGCATGGTGAGGAGCAGCTGAGGGAGCTGGGGGTGCTGAGCCTGGAGCAAAGGAGGCTCAGGGGAGACCTTCTGGCTCTCCACAGCTCCCTGACAGGAGGATGGAGCCAGGTGGGGGTCGGGCTCTTCTCCCAAGGAACAAGTGATAGGACAAGAGGAAATGGCCTCAAGTTATGCCAGGGGAGATTTAGGTTGGATTTAGGAAACATTTCTTCACCAGAAGCATTGACAAGGCCTGGACCAAGCTCCCCAGGGAGGTGGTGGAATCCTCATCCCTGGAGGTATTTAAAAGCCATGTAGATGTGGTGCTGAGGGACACAGTTTATTGGTGGATTTGGCACTTTTAGGTTAACAGGGCTTTTTCCAACCTGAATGATTCTATATGACATCATGAAGAGATGTTCATTCATCTAGGCAGTAGCCTTGAGGTTCCACCTACAGCTAAAAATGCAGGTAGCTCATTAACATTAAACTCCCCTTGTGCTCATTCTCTTCTCTTTCCCAAGCAGGTCTGCCAGAGCAGCAGATAAAACAGTTGCCTCCTGTCCAACCCTCAAGGGGATCTATCATCAGAAAACAGCCCTTCCACCTCAAGCACTTACCCCTCTGAAGCTGAGCTCTTGTTTTGTGAATATTTCAATGCAACTATTTCATCATTCCCCCTCCAGTCCAACATGAATAATTCTATTTAGTTCAGAGACCCCAGGTGCTAGGGGAGTTTTCAGAGTGTGCTGGCTATGATGGGTAAAAGGGGGTGGCCTTTTGTCTCTGGTTATTCTTTGGCCAGCAATGGGGTAGCCAGAAGTAAAACTTGTCCTCATTTGGTATTAAAAGCAGACAAAAAGCTAGTTTTACAGCCTGGCTGAAAGACAGAAGCAAGGTTTGGTGGTTCACCTGCGTGCCTGCTTCTGCTACTCAACAGCTGCTCAACAGGTCTGGAAAAGCGTTTTTCCATTAGAGAAAAATAGGGAAATCATAAGGGTTAATGGGGCATGCAACACAATCTCCAAGGCTCCCAAATACAAGAGGCCATCTGAAGGAAGGGATTGTGCAAGAGGAGCACTGACCCGCTACCGTCTCAAGGCTCAGCCATACAGAGGTGAGAAACTGTCAAACCCAAGAGCACATTGAACCCAACCAAATCCTGGAGAAGCCCACTAGACAAAAACGATCAGAAGGCTGGATCACTTCTCCTGTGAGGACAGACTGAGGGAGTTGGGGTTGTTCAGCCTGGAGAAGAGGGGGCTCCAGGGGGACCTTACAGCAACCTCCCAATACCTGAGAGGGGCCTACAAGAAAGCAGAAGAGGGACTGTTCACAAGGGTTTGGAGTGACTGGACTAGGGGTGATGGCTTTAAGCTAGAAAAGGGGAGATTCAGGTTAGACATTAGGAAAAAGTTCTTCAGTATGAGCGTGATAGAGCACTGGAATAGGTTGCCCAGAGAGGTGGTGGAGGCCCCATCCCTGGGAACATTCAAGATCAGGCTAGATGAGGCTCTGAGTATCTTGATCTAATTGGAGATGGGAGGTCCTTCCAGCCCAGACATTCTGTGATTCTATATGGCTGGATTGGTCAATGGCCACCTCTTCACAGTTCCACTGCATCATCTCCTTCCAGGGGTCCACAGAACCTTGGCAGGCATCGTGCTTACCATCAGCCAGATGGGGAAAGGCACCTTGCGAAGGACGTGGGAGCTGTCGGAGGTGACCGACTGGACACCAGCACACCACAGGATGGAGTACAGCCAGGGCTCGTTCACAGTGTAGAGATTCACACTCAGGTTTGCCACGGCATAGTCCCTGCCAGGAGACAGACAAGGTGAGATAGGAGTCCCCCAGCAAAATTCAGACCCTCACACCCAAGAGGAGAGCTCTTGCCATCACCCACCGCTGTAACCACGGGTAGATGTATTTGGTTTGAACGGCATGAAATTGCTTTAACAAGGCACGATCACTTATTAAGCAACCCCAAGGCATTGCAATCAAATGGTTTGAACTTGAAAGCTTTCTTCACTTCTTGGATGCTCTCTGACCCAGGCCACAGCCCATCTCAGCTACCTCCTCGTGAAGGATGGACACGGTGTGTTTTTGCAACAACCGCCTCATCATGTTGATGTAGAATTAACATCTGGCTCAGATGCCTGCAACACTTCATAGGCAATTTGCTTAATTAAAAACTGACAGACTGCATTTCCAGCATCAGTTCCTACAACTCCCATGCCCTCGCTTTGGGGACAGTCACAGAGCTAGTTTCCAGTCTTCCTAGATCATTTTCTAAGAAGCTAAACCTGCAAGTTTGGGTCCAGGAGCTGCCAGCTGAAAGCCAAGCACTGCCAGTGGACTTTCTGTACCCATAAGATTTGCACAAATTATTCTGTTCCCTCACCTACAAGGCAGAAGCATCACTAATCTCCAGCACTGAGATGAATCCTTGTAATTTAGTATTGACAAAACACTTTGAGGTGGCAGGTACAAGATGTGGACATCACAAAGCTCACAATATGATGAAGCTCCTTCAAAGGCTAAGGGATTCTGAAGGGTGGTCACATCCAGATGTTGATTTGAGGGGGGGGACTGAGGAAACTGTTAAACCGGGACTTGTTGAACCTACTCTGGCTTGTGCTACAGAACTGCAGCAACCTCTGGCTGGGGAGAACAAGGCCTTCAGCATTCAAGAAACACATGGCAGGGCTGATTTTGGAGCCAGTTGAGGTGGGATTGATGAGAGATTTGGGTTGGTGGGATAGATGAGAGAAACAGCATGTAGTCCTGTCTGTGAGACAGAGCAAATAGGTATGTAGAAGAACAGTCACAAATTATGCTGCAGGCAAAGCACAGATTTGGTTTAAGGGGCAACTAATCAGAGGGATTGCTGGCAGCCATAGGAAGACATCACTGGATCACACTAGGTAGGACCATGCTCAACTATAGGCTCAGCTTTTCCCTTTTACTCTCAGCCCAAACATACAGCTCTCTTGGAGGTACTGTTCTTCCACAAACCTGCTTCATTTTCAAGTCTCTCTTTGGGGAAAAAAAGATATACAAATCAAACTGTAAACAACAGAAAAGCTGTACTAGAGACCATCCACCCTTTCCAAGAAAGGGGACAAAGCTGGGAGCTAACACCCTGCACAGTTCAAATACAGTCTCAAGCAGGAGGAGAGGAACTTCATGCAGTGCCAGTCTCATTAGAGAGGAGATCTGACCAGTTTAAATAGCTGACACGGGACAGGAAAGAAACGGGTGAATTCTCTCCAAAGAGAAATTTCTGAAAGCACATCCAGACTTTGGACTAATCAAAATTCTGTGATAGCAGTTCTGGAGCAGATCAACAGAAGCAAAGGGTAGCTGCTAATGAGGATGAAATGGCACTTGGAGGTACTCAGTGTGAAAAGCCTTCAATTTTTCCCAGAGCTGCCAATGTACTAAGAATCGCATGATTTGTAGAGCTGTATTTCAGAAAGGATCATCACACACTGAATTAGCATGTGGAGTTATCAGAGGCACCTCCTGGGAACAGCCTGGGTGCTGGGTGGGGACAAGCTTGCCCAGCTCAAGCTTTCAAGAGCAAGTCCATCTGAGAAGATACCTCTGTGCAGATAAGACCGCCTGTGGTGATGAGAGAAGATGCTGCTGGGCCAGGGCTCCACGGTGGGGCACAAGGATGCACAAAGCTGTGGACACCCACCGTGGAGCACATGGGCTATCGCAGTGTCCAAGCAGAGGGCCATACCTGACATCCTCATTGGTGACCTTGGTGTAACGCAGGTTGAGCTTCACGATGCCCTTCTCCCTCATGCGCTCTGCGTCCAGCTTGAGGCCAGAAGTCTGCTGGAAGCCTGGGGCAACCTGCCTGACCAGCTGCCTCTCCGTGTCCGGCAGCCACATCACCTGCGGAGGGAGCGACAGAGGATGGCTGTGGCAAAGGTGGATCCCAGAGCACCCTTGCAGACAGCCAGTTTACACCAAGCCAGAAGCAAAATCACATGAGAGGCTGTCTTGTTCCTCACACAGATTGTCTAGGAGATATCTACAGCCTCCCAAGTCTTTAATCAAATGCATTTCAGGCTTAGCTTCAAGCCCAGAGGGTTGTAACACACTATTCTGGAGGGGAAAAGGGTGGATAGGCAAAAGATCAGGCCAAGGGCTCATGAGAACATTGCCCAGACATGTTTTGGAGTCTCCTTCTCTGGAGAGATTCCAAACCCACCTGGATGCGTTCCTCTGCAATGCTCTGGATGAACCTGTTTTAGCAGGGGAGTTGGACAAGATCTCCAGAGGCCCCTTCCACCCCCACCATGGTGGGATTCTGTGAGAAGAGATATGGTGTAACCCTGAAAACCTGTTGCCCCTGCCATGTTCCAAGTGCTCAGTGTGAACAGACCTCATGAGATCTCTATTCCAGCACAAACCAGCACCAGCACTGATGTCAAACAAGGTGCTCACGGCTTTGTCCAGTTGCACCTTGAAGAACATCAAGCATGGAGATCTCTCCTGGCCCCTGTCAACACTTGCCTGCCCTCACAGGGGAAATTAATTTCCTTATATCCAGCAAAAACTTCTCCTGTTCCAACTGATGGCAGTTCCACCTCATCCTCCTGACACACAGCTCAGCGAAGAGCTTGCACCTAACTTTTCAGCAACCTCCCTGCAGGTATCTATTAGATCTCTCCTAAGTCTTCTCTTTTCCAGGATGAACAGACTCAGTTCCCTCAGCCCTTCCTCATACATTTAGCACCCCTGACCAATTTGGTGGCCTCTGAAGGACTTGCTTCAGCTTATCAACATCTATCAGGTACTGGTGAGCCCCACACTGAACCCATCATGACTGCTGAGTAAGGGGTGTAATCACTATCCTCCATTTACTATCTCCACTACCATGAGCACAGTCCAAAATGTTATCAGACCTCTGAGACCACCGGCCTGGAGGGGCAATCTTCCCCAGCATGACTTCGTGGCATGAAGTATCATTCAAATCCAATGTTTAAGTGGATCAAATGAGACATTCAAGGATTTGTGGAACCCATAAAGAGGGCGATTTTGGAAATGTCACCAACCCCACAGAACTCACAGCCTGTTGCCTAATTCCTGATGCCAGGATGGTTTCCAGGGTGATGTTGATGTAAGTGCTGTAGTAGGGATGAGCTGGTGGCAGGTCCTGGAAGTTCAGGATGAGCGATGTATTGTCTTTGATCACCTCTAGCATATCTGCCAGCTTGCAGACTGACTGGTTGGCAGCTTCCAAGTAGTCAGACCTTGAGAGAGACCCAGCTGTCCAGAAAGGGTCATTCTGAAAGCCAAGCACATCCTGGTATTAATGCCACAAATTCCAGATATCAATTCCCAGTACAGGTGAAGACCCCTTTTCTATCCCACCTTGGCACCAGTGAGGGATACTGACAGCTACGCTTGATGATCATCTTGCAGCTTGCTGAAGCTCTGTGCCTCAGTCTGCCTACCCAAGGGGAGGTCACAGATCTTTGCAGAAGGGAAAGTGTGCTGGACAGGTCCCCCCGTTTTCAGAGAAGAGCAGAGCTATAGGGCAGTGGTGTGATTTTCCATGGCAGCAAGCTAAAACTGCACTTTCTCACACTGTATATACAATCACCAAGGATTTTGCAGGATCCAAAACCAAAAAGGACCAGTTAGTTAAGAATGATCAGAGAAGAGCTAGGAGCTGTTTGAAGAGCTGGCCTCCTGACACAGGACATTCAGGAAGGACTGCTTCAAAGTCCATCACAAAAGCAACCTTCCAACTGCTGTCTTGGCCCTTTTCACCTGGCAAGCAGCAATTTCTCTGCATTCTCACTGCCATACTTACAACCCAAGCAAGTTTCTGTGCAGCTGTAACACAGACACCCCACACATACCTCCAGACCAGCTCAGATTAAAACAGCAGTGAAGCTATGGTGGTTTCAGGCTTGGCAAAAAGTAAACCCACCTGCAACCTGGTTGCATGTTGAAGGATGAGTCAAGCCTATTTCACAGCAATTTCTCCCCCTGCCCCTGGACTTCAAAGGCTGAATTTTGAAGACGATTGTATCCAAAAGGAAATTAAAGAAAAAGGAACAGAATATAACACACTGTCTTTTCTTTTTATAATCATGTTCCCCCTCCTGAGGGTCTTGAAGTTCTCTGTAGTGTCAACCAGGCATTAAGACCCTTTCTTCCAGGTGGTGGTAGAGGCACAGAATGAAAAAGTGTCTTTTAGACCAAGTCTAAGTTTAGTAGAGGACAGAACTAAATGCAGTTCATGGATTCTTCATCTACCTGCACTTCAGACCACTTCACCAAGTAGATGGATTTACACCTCTCCACCTTAAAGGGGGTTTAGGTACAAGCTTTCATGCATGGGCATGACTCCAGGACACCCTCTCCATGGCCATACACACCTTCAGGAACCACTCCCCAGCATTAAGCTTTTCCAGGTCAGTCCAGTTGAACATGGAGGAGTGCTCGTAGGCCCGCTCTGGAAAGATTTCCTCCACATTTGTTGTTCTCCTGAGTGTCTTGTCATGCATCAGAAATGGCACTCCATCATAGCTGCAAAGACAGTCAGGGGCCATTACAGGTGGAGATGCATAACAACGTACACAGCACTAGAGTAATGCCTGTTCCCACTCCAGCCTTCACATTAAAATCATTGTCAAGATCTC